CACTGCTTTCCAAATAGTTACTCAAATCAAAGCTTGTCCCAAAGGAGGGCATTCCTTTGATTTGGTGATATCAGACAGTTTTGCTAGGATTTGAGTACTCCTTCTCAGACAGTCTCTCAGCCATCTCAACAGCTGATTCATAGGTTTCTGTTTCAGAGTTTTATTTGCCTCCTGCCCCACGGGGCGCTGGGATTGCACACGGTGGTTGCCATGGATGTAAGACAAACCTGCACAGGATGAAAAAAGATCTCCCCTGAAGCCCTGCTCAGCAGGCTGCATATTTGTGCATTGTGTGGACGCCATGCAGGAACCTCACAGCCGGTGAAGGAAAACATGCAGTCCTGAGAGAATTGCTAACAGGCCAGGGGCAAGAAGGGAGAAAAGTCCTGGAAAGCTCAAAGGCCATCCACTTGACAGTATGCCATCAACTCAATCTTTATTCTTGTTATTTATCACTGTCTCCTGAGTGTTTCAGACTGTTATCCATATACATTCCTCCAATTTCTTCACCCCTGATCTCCGTTCAGCTCCATCATATAAAGATGCCTAATTGAAGGCTTTGCACAAACCAAATGGCCACATTAGCCTGCCCACTTTTAACTCATCATTCTTCCTGTCTGTGGTTGTAAAGCATTATACACTCTGTTTACGGTTATCTCTCATATTACTGTGCAGGCTGCCAATCATTTGTAAACTAAAACTAAGGGACTTGTTTTTCTCCAACCCACCCACCTCCTGTCTATTTTTTTTTTTATCCACCAAGGATATTTATGGTGAAACAGAACAATAATGCTGCAAGTGCTCAGGTTAGCCAGTCAATGTGACCTTTTACTTAAATTTCAAGATGATCTGTAAAGTTGTTGGCCCTTTTCTACTTCCATCATAATCTCAAAAACACCAAAAACAAAACTCAGTTACACAAGATGAATAAGAAACAATTCAATCATGTTAATTCAGCATCATTGAACACTCCCTAAATAGGACAGACTGATTAAATGCTCGACTTGTGTTTCTTTTATGTCTGCACATGAACAGCAAAACAGCCCCCCCCCCCCTCCAGTCTGTTAAAAGTCTAAGAACCTGCCAGACATTTGTGTCCCTCCGTGCTTCCCATACATATTGTGCCACAGTGAGTTTTCTCCATGTGACAAAGGTTCTTAAAACCTCTCCGGTCAAATAGAACAATACCACGTGGGTGGCTCTCTCTCTCTCTCTGGTTGTGTATGCGTTTGTGTGTGTGTGTAAACAGATATTGTTGACCAAGTCAAAAAGTCTGCATCAACATATGAACAAGTATCAGCTTTCATCAACGCAGATTTGCCTCAGTAGCAGGACAATTTCCTCATGTGGAATTTGATTGAAGTTATGATAAATATAAACCACTTTTTATCATATTTTATTATGTCATACTGATTATATATGTCTTCTAACCAGTAACTTTGAAGGGAAAATATGCTTGGATTACAGCTCAAAGGATCAGTCAATTAAAAAGGTATCATGTGGCGTTTTTGACCAGTAATAGCGCTAAGGAGCAATGTTTGCAATGCAAACAAGGACGCACAGACATGCTTTTCACATGCTATTCCGATGAACGACAGTTGGTAGTGGTAACATGCCAACAACCAAAGTAAGGCACCAACAAAGTCATCAAAGAAGACAACTGCTAAAAAAGCAAGCATGGATGTAAAGAATGCAGGATTTAAAATATATTTTAAAAAATCAGCTAGGTAAATGTTTTATGAGGAAGAAAATGCACATTAGACCTCATGGGAACACACAACGTGTTCTAGGCCCTGTTTCAGAAAGCAGGTTCAACAAACTCTGAGTTGATTAAGCCTGACATGTAAAACTCAACTGGCAATGGGTAAATAAAGAACAGATCCTCCATTTTAACCCACTGTCACTAGAAATACGAATACATGCCAATTGCAGACCATGACCATTTATCTTACAAAACAGGAGTAGAGAAAGGAGTCAACACTGCATTTTATTCAGTATAGTCCACTCAATTTAAATATATTTATTCAGCTGCAACCTGACGGGGACAAAATGCCGGTAATAATAACTGAAGATGAAAATATGGATCAAACAGTTAAGACAGTTCACTCATGGACCTATGGTTGTAGAGTCACAGTCCGACCAAGTAGCCCAATAATGATTTTGTTGATTTGCAGTTGCAAAATGTGTCTAGGTTCAAACTGACTGTAAAGTTTTAAAAGTGTATTTTACATTAGAACACCTTGGGTGGCGATGGACCAGTGGATAACACATGTGCCTTTAGAGTGAGAGACCCGGGTTCAATTCCCCACTGTGACACACCAACCAATGTGTCCCTGAGCAAGACACTTAATCCCTTTTTGCTCCAGAGTGCAACCTCTGACATCTATAGCAATTGTAAGTTGCTTTGGATAAAAGCTTCAGCTAAATTTAATGTAATTCTAATTTCACATTTAATGAAATGCTGTCAAAACACATCAAGACTCTAAGCAACTAATATTCAAAAACTCACTTTTACACTACAATTAGTCCAGTTTTAGGATCTTAAAGTTGTTTCAGCTGCACCACAATCATCCTCACGCAGAAACATTGTCATCCCCAGCATGATAACTTTGATAGGAATGTTCCATCAGTGCGACCAATCACAACACGATGGTTTATTTATCAGTTACAACTTCATAAGGATATGTGATTCCTGGGGTAATGTAGCCCATGGGTAATGTTTCAGTGCAACTGTTGGCAACCTGAAAGCTGCCTTAATGTCCACAGTGTTTTATAGAAGAATTGCATAGCCAATAGATTTTAGTCACTCAGGAGCTCGATGTCTGTCTCTGTCCTTACATCGATGACAGATTGATCATAAAAGCGGTCACGTTAAAGATCATGTTTGGGTAACGAACTAAAATCTAACTGGGATTTCGATGTTTCTGAAGACATAAATGTCTGCAAGTAAAGTCTTTCCTGATGTAGGGTTTATCTGACCTCGATCTCGAAACAAATAAGCCAGAGTTTCCCTCATCTCAGGCTTCACTAAAACCACCTTCTGAAACAAGACCCTGGTGAGAAACTGAATGTAAATGCGTGTGTTTACAAGAAAACTCCAAATGGCACCTTTTAAATGATTAGTCAATCAACATAAAATTGAACGCAACATTTTTTGTTATAAACAAGCAAAAATACCAAACATGGTATTGGCTCTGGTTCCAGCTTCTTCTGCTTGAGTTTTGGACTGTTGGTTGGACTAAACAAGCCATCTGAATATGACAACTATAGCATTTTTCATTATTTTCTGAAATTATATATATATATATATATATATATATATATATATATATATATATATATATATATATATATATATATATATATATATATATATATATATATATATATATATAAATAATCATCAGATTAACCAATTATAAAAAGAGTTAGCTGTAACCCTAGTTTGGACTGTAATTAAATTAATCACAAAAACACCTTGGGAACACATAATGACTTAATAAATTTAATATTCTGAGCAGTTATACTGCTGCTGTGACTCCAAAATGAGACCTAAATTGCTGAGCGTCTGTTGCCACTTGTATTATGCAGCCGGGATGTTGGAAGCAGCCGCCAATGTTTGTTGACTGATGAGAGCCGATGTTGACAGGGAACTCTGTTTGGTTTGGCTGGAGCGCACACTGGCTGCCATTCCACACATGAAACCATGTGAGTGTTGCTCATTTTGAAACAGCTACCAGCTCCTGCAGCCTTTTTTGATTTGTCCTGTGTGTACAAACATGCCAGCTCCAAGACTGTTATGATAACTTTAAAGAAAAAAATACACCTTCAGAAATGTAAGGAAACTGAATGCTTATTAAAAGGACAAGCTTGGTCCTATTCTTTATATTTTTCCCACAGTCAAAAAAACGTTGCATAGGGGTCATGTTCCTTCCTTTGAGTCAATCCGACATACACTGTCCTGCTGCTGTAAATACCTACAAGAGCACTAAATGCGTAATATTGTAAGTATTAATCCTCTGCTACATTTACGTTTGCAGCTTTGTTCTAAGTTAGAGGCAACATGCTTCATAAACTTTTTCATAAATGCTGAGTATTTTAGTTCAAATTCAGAGCCTGGGTAAACACATCAAACATCTGATGACAAAAACAGGGCATTGCCCCTGCAAACAGCAACTAAAACACTGTGATCATGTGAGACTCCTATAAATCATTTGAGTTTAGGGAGGAGGATAAGAGCATGTCTTTAAACTGAGAGACATCGTTAAAGTGAATTGGCCTAATGATATGTCTGCACATTCAAGTCATAAGCTCTAAATTTGTTGCCCACCCATTTCAGCCGCCATATGACAGCTATCAGCTTGAGTGGGAGAAACATCCCACACTGGGCAGGGAGAGCACACAGACAGAGGCAAGTTGTTGCCTGTAAGTCAACTGTCAGTCACTGCTGAGTGAAAGGATGGTAAGGAAAAACAATGAGAGAATGAGGTTGAAAACAAATAGCGGCCTGTTTAGGAGGTGGCTATGATGGGATAACTGCACTCCAGTGCTACATATGAGGATTTCATTTTCTTATCAGGGTAAAGTATAGCAGGACACCTTGCACAGGAAGAGGGGCTATTAGTAAAAGCCCCAGTACATATCCCTGACAGAAGTTCACCCTTACAGACCTCCTCCTCCTGAGTCTCCTACAGGAACAGCCAACCTATCTAATCTCAAGATCAGAGTGTAGCGGTAGATCTGAAAGGAATACAGACCCTGCTCTGTTTGCTCTGAAGTGGTGCCTTACTGCACTCACACACACACACTGATTCATCCACTGTTTTTACAATACCCACACAAACCCCAACTCCTAAATGTACACTCCAACTCGAAAATACACACAAACATCTACACACATACAATTATCCACGTAAACATTTCTCTCATCTCAGCCCGCGTTTATGAAGTTTTACTCATACAACAGCAATGCCTAAACACACATCCAGTTAAAGTCTTACCTTGAAAAGTAGCCACATTGCGTGAGATGAGAAACTTGAGGCTGGAGCTGGACATCTGGAGAAGGTTCTGGATGTCTCTCCGGGCTGCCACCTGGTACTTCTCCTCCATCTTCTTGTTGCAGCATGTCAGGTTCTTGGACATGCACACCTGAAGGTCTGAACCTAAGAGTCAGTGAGATTAAAAGTTATGATCTTAAAAACGTATGGGCAGGGGCTCGGATTAAATTGGGAAAGCATGGTGGTTCAGTGTTCGCCTTACAGTAAGTCTCTTTGCATCTTTTGCCATTTCTCTGTGAGATTTGAAAGCCCCAGTTTTTGCTTTTTATGTATTACCATTACAGTTGAGTCACAGAGATAAGCATGTTTCTCTGAAAAATAAATACACACCAATGTCTGAAAAACTGTTTAACACTTACCTCTGTTCTGAATTTCCAGAATTCTCAAACACTATTCAAACCATGTAGATCAAAAAATATTCTGTCTGCCTCAACCCGTCTCTAAAATTGCACTTCCTAATCAGTTAGCCATAGAATTACATATGTCTGTGTTCAACATAAGAGAAATATTACATAATGATATTGTCAGAAAATACCACATAATATAAAGTCAATATAGTCAAACGTAAATCAGAATATATTTTTGGTTTGCCTAAATTAAGCAAATAAATATAATATATAATTCACAGCGGGTGGCATGGTGGAGCAGTGGTTAGCACTGTCGCCTCACAGCAAGAAGGTTGTGGGTTCAAATCCCAGTTGCCCCAGCCTTTCTGTGTCGAGTTTGCATGTTTTTCCTCGTGTCTCCGGGGGCTCCGGCTTCCTCCCACCAAAGACATGCGGGCTAGGTTAATTGGTGACCCTAAATTGTCCTTAGGTGTGAGCGTGAGTGGTTGTTCGTCTATGTGTGGCCCTGCGATGGACTGGCGACCTGTATAGATGGACAGGCGCCCGATGCCAGCTGGGATTGGCTCCAGCCCCCCCGCGACCCATATGCAGGATAAGCGGTTGACGATGGATGGATGGATGGATAATTCACGGCCACCATCTTAATTTGGATTAGGAGACTTGGGAAGTGGGTTTAAAATATTTGAAACACAATATGTCTTATCAAGATGAACAGTTTTTTAAGCCAGATATTTATTTTTCATTGAACCAATTCTCACTTCTGTGACTCAAATATAATGCTAACACACAATACACAGTCTTTCACAATACACACTTTCCTTTACACATTCCAAAGACATGCAAGTGAGGTGGATTTGACACTGTAAACTGCCCAAAGGTATGAATAAGTGAGTGCGTCTAACTATCAGTATTATCTGGCAACTGTCCAAACTGACGATCAGATTTTCTTTCTTTATCAGAATTAATCAGTAAGAGAACAAGACTTCGAGACTACAGCCATGCTAGCAGCTCTCTGTGAGGCTTTAGCCCACCTAGGCACAGCAGTGTTTTGAGCTAAATGCTAACAATAGCATGCTAACACACTCAATAACAGTGCTTACATGCTGATGTTAAGCTGGTATAATTATTACCATGTTGACCATCTTAGTTTAGCATGTTACAATTCCCAGTTTGCACTGAACACAAAGTACAGCTGAGGCTGATGGTTGATTAGGCTGATTAGTTTTGCAGGTATTTGGCCACAAACTAAAGTGTTGGAGAAATTAAAATTGTAGATGAGATTACATTTTACGGAGCAACCAAAAGTACCAAATTTCACAGCAGTCCATCCAATGGCGACTTTTCACTCATAACCCCAAAAGTCAAACTGTTAGTGCTGCTAAAGGACCATGAAACCTACAAAAATTTCATGACAATCCATGTTTATATTTCCATTCTGGACCGAAGAGGTGGACTGACCAAAATACACACAAAACTAACAAAAATGATCAAAGAACAAGGTGCATAGAAAGCACACATTTAGCAAATCTCAATGAATTATAGGCCTACTCTTACCTAAATATTAGGTGTGTAAAATAACCTATTGGCAGTTGATTCTGGTCATATAAATTATTTTATAACCATAATGGTAGTAGGGTCTACACATGCCTAAAACATAACATAAATGCACATACAATGGTTGTGGATTTCTAGCAGTACACTAGTTTTGAAAATGCTTTAGTGGAGCAAGAAAACCAAAACACCTGGATCCTGAGAGAAGATCTGAGTCAAAGTGTTATCGCCTCACCAAGTGATGTCTCAGGTTTTCCATTACGAACAAATGTAAGCAATCTACACACATACGGGACAATCAAAACATCTTTAAAGCGACCCCAAAACTCTGCAAAAGCCTTTCTGACATGCCTAGGCAGAGTGAGCAGAGCTGTTGCCAGAGACGCTATCAGCTCCCTGCGAGGTTCAAGAGTGAGAGGGGAGGGAGCAGAGCAGGCGATGGCACACGTGGAGGAATTCAAACTCTCTCAGATAAGATGAGTTGAAAGCGCCCCAGGTCTTGCTGTTTTTTAAATTCTTCCCAGAACTATTTCCACTTCCAACACCACAGACAACAGCTTTGTTTGGCCCAAGTGACAGACTTCTGACTCGCTGTGTTCTGGGCTTAAGTGAAGGTTGTTTGGCACTTCTTATTAGACAGGCATGGAAACAGCTCTCTCTCTCTCAGATTCCTGGAATTTCTGGAGGTTATTTTTCACAAGCCCACGCTCAATTACAGATAACTTCTGAAATCATGCTCTAGGATCAACTCTACCTTTTGCTATCTCCCATTCCCCTATGTGATGTATTTCAGTACATTAATCTGAATCCATCAAGGAAACGATTTACATCTTTTCATTGTCATAATGCTTTTGGGCTTGGAAGATGTTTTTGCCATGTGAAGCTGCAAGAAAGGTCAGCAGGAGGCGCAGTTATAAACAGTAGCAAGTGTTTTTCACAAGGCTACTGAATCCAGAGCTTATCATCACTTACAGTAGACGCCCACTGGCTACACATAATTCATCTCAGAAAAAAAGTGTTTTTCAGTTTGTAATTCTGCAGAGAAACAGCACAGAGATTTAAATCCACACAGGCTCATTTAAGGGGCAGCAGTGGTGATGTAATTACAATGGCTATTTAGAGGTTTAGGGGGCATTTGAGGGTTTTCTGTCAATTGAATCCATTTCCTCAGGAAAGGGGTGGCAAAGTTTATAGGGAGCAGTTTGTGGCAGGATGGTAGTCAACACCATTAAGATTTACTTTTCCAAGAGGAGGACAGAGAGCAGCAGCAAGCAGTCCAGTCAATGACAGCCCACGCAAATTACCCACACCCATATCCCGCTCCCCCCCCCCCAATTGCCAATTGTGCTGAGAAGTATCATTTGGAAGCACATCATGGGTGGTGTCCAGAAAGTTAAATGAAGCCTACTGGGAAACTGTCTCCAAACCTCTTCCTGGTGCTCAGTATGAAGTGCTTGAAAATGGGTTCAACATCATCCACAGTATATGTTTCAACATGTAACACAACACAAACTACAGTAGATATGTCCAAAGAGATGATTCTAAATGTAAAATAGACTTCTGTGGGTTTTATTCTTACACTAATTTAACACACATAGCCTACAGTATTTCCTCTAAGTTAAATATCTTAATTTAAACGCCCCTCAAAACGATGCCATTTAAACAGCTTCAAGCTCTCCTGTTTCCACTGTCTATATTATTATCGTAACTGCACACACGCCTCTAAAATGTGTCTTTAAATGTGTGTTTTAACTATAAAGAGTGCTTCAAGAAGTCTGAAAATGGCAGGGTAAAAGCTGCGATGCAGTTTATGATCTATGCAGGAAAGTAATGTTGTGTTAAATAACTTCTCAGGCATGTTACTTTCAATCAGCGGTTGACATGTTGATGTTTTGGGTGTTATGAAGATGTAGGCTATACGAAGAAAATGAACAAATAATCAAGAAGAAATGTGACAACTTGTATGGCAGGCTGGTTCACATGAGAATTTTACTGTCACCCAAATAAACCACACAGTAATGCACACTAGCCTACTGGAAGACATACCTGGTCTGGGACTTGGAGTCAATAATTGACTGGGTCCAATTTGCCTGAGTTGGAAAACTTTGCGGACTTCGTCGCATCTGTTGGGGCTTCCAAAACCTAATCCAAAACAACACGCCAGGAACAAAATGTAGATCGTCCACAGCACACCCATTTTAATAAAAATCTAGGGATAATGCTCCCCCCTCCACCCAAAAAAAAGAGTCCTATTTGGAAGTTGTGGTTTCTTCTGAACCTATAGTCCGCTCAGGTGAGTCCCGTGCGCATTTCAGGATTCAGCATCGACCATGTGGCGTTTGTGTTCCTGTCGTGGAAACGCTCCAGATAGGCTACTAATTTAAATCCAGACACAGACAGAAAGTTGCTGCGGTGTGAGTACTCTGTTTGAAAGCGGCATGCTGTCCCAAATTGGTTGGACCGACAGCAGAGGCGGTACCGTAATGTTACCTGCACGCTGCGGCTGGATCTGCAGCTGCAGGCAGACAGCGCCATCTTGTGGACAGGCTGTAACTCCACTTAATTTTTGTATTTACACTTCAATGCTACGCAGGCCAGAGATCAATTAGGCCGAAAACAAACGTTTGATCTTTTTTCAGGAATTCTCAAACTCGACTACCGTACTCTCGGGATTAATGACTTGATTACATGAATAATTAAGGATTTTTTAAATGTCCTTCATGCAGATTTCAGTTCAAGTAAATACAGACTTGGTCAGGCCATAGCACTCAATTCTTAATATTTTTGTAAACTTAGATATTCAATAACATTCTTTGCTTAAAGACTACTGCCAGGTTAGTATACTTAATCTGAAAAATGATTCTATTTGGCGTGTATCATTTAATTTATGAAATTCAAATAGAAAAATTACAAATTAGTTTTCAGGCTTATATTTTCTTTCATTTAATCCCAACCACTTTTAACTTGATGCAAACTCTTCAAATCAATCACGAACTATTTGGTTACACTCCGATTGCAGTGTCTAATCCAACGATTTCAAACCACAAACATTTTTAACCAATCCCAAACTACAGCACTTCAAGTGTTTTAAACTCATCCAAATGCAGCCAAAGTTTGGCATACAAGTCTTATTATGCAAAATAAACACCCAACTATTGCAATATTTTTCCCTGTTTAACCATTGTTGCTCTTTAATGTGGATGCTGTCACTTGGAGATGTGATCCAACAGGTCGAACTGGATCTCCTTGCATACTGCACAACTGCTGCAAACTTGATTGGACAACATGATTCGTTTAATGCAGTGGAAGCTGTGGTCAATGTGACACCATTTAATATACCATTACATTGCAGCAAGTTGGTTGCTGAACACGTCATTACCACATTTAGTTTTCTGCACTTGTTCCTTAAGAAAAAAGTGGTATTAAAGTGAAATGCCACAATTTCAAAAGCTTCCACTTAAACTACTCAAACACATACATAATGCTACCCATTCATTTTTTAATTTACGCAATGATGGATTCCGAGAGGGAAATGTGTAAAACATTTAATATACATTTCAAGCAACATTACAATTAACCAATGTAACATTACAATTAACCAATGTAAAACAGTCCCATCAGTCATCACATGCATTTCATACATACGACACTGGCTAACGCATTACAAGAGTGCGGCAGTTTTCGGATCAACACGGGTCAAGAGCCAGGTTGGGTCCATCTCCTCGTTCCTACACAGGCCGGGACAAGTGCAATACCTCCAGGTACACAGCATTGCTACTAATCCCCACCTGCACAAGAAGGGATATCTCAAAAAATCCAAACTGCTATACGCACATATCCAGGTACACCCACCATGCGGCATATATAAAAGAAAATAAGATACCAAACACACGATGAAAAGCAATCTCCCCTTGCAGAACATAGTTCATCAACCTAGTCAGTTTTGCATGGATTTGCACAGCGAACATCAGTTAAAGCTGAATGCAAACCAGCAAAACTGACCGAGTGATGATTAACAGGTGAATCTTTGATGATTATTAACACTTTAGCTTCAGAAAGATGCAGTTAGTTAGAAGTACTTCAAGTGCTTACATTGCAGTAGATGGGAGAACACACTACCTGCACTATAAGCACTTTAGTACTGCTGAAACTTAGTCACTGAAGGACAACTTGCAAGTTCTCCTGGTGTTTAAGACATATACACAATATGCAATCATTTGTGTTTGATGCGACACCCCCAAAACCAAAATCTAAACAGGTGGAGAGCAAGCAGGCCACCATCAGTTTTGCATAGATTTGCACAACTCATCTATTCTTGTAGTGCAACTATGCAAAACTAGCAGAGAACTGCGAGATGTTTGAGCCCAATTAGAAATTAAAAGTGGTCTGGTGGCGCATATCACAGCCCCTTATGCCAGAAGGAGCACTTAGGGCAGTAGGTGCTAGTCTATTTCACTATCTGCACTAGATGCACCTTAGCACAAAGACAGTACTTCAAATGACATGTAACATCAGATCTGCACATCAGTGTCAGGGTATTGCTGTAAGTGCCTCCACTGCAGTAGGTATTGCATAGTACTACCTGCACTGTAAGCACTTTGACAATACACAGACTGGTTACACCAGCGCTGCCCTCCAGCACCTTGGGAAAGATGGTCATACTGCTCCATGTTGCAATTGTTTAGGGTTCTGCACTTCGTGATGGATCTGAAAATTATAAAGACAAGAAAAAGAGGTATCTTATTAAGACAATGAATACGTTATTTCGGCATTGCAACAAGTTACATAGGCGGGTTGATTTGTGCACACGTGTACTTTATTTCCAGAGAAATTTGACTCCCCGTCACAATACGTTACACTTTCCGTCAGAAATGTGCATCATTATCGCTGGTTTGCTAAGCAAGATGTTTTGATTTATCACAACAGCACGAGGTCACTGAAAACATGAATGAGCAGCACAGCCTGCGGCCCGCGTTCCCTGCGACACGGGGGCGCATGCGTAGAGGACGGTGTTGTTCACCCCTCCCCCACGTCTTTAACATGGCGCCTCGAAGTGCGCCAACCTTAGCATAAATTACTTTAAATCAAAAGCTGAACGACGGCGTAGTGCTGCACACTGAAATGTCCAGTTGCGTGTTGTTTATTTAAAAAGTAAACACTTGGCCCGTGGTTTCGGAGTTCCTAGAAAACAAGGCTACTGTCCATATAGGAACAGAGGCTAGCAGCAGCCGTGCGCTGGTTGAGCAGGTAGCTTAGCTGCTGCGAGCTGGTGTTAGCTCGATGAAAACATGGCAAACCGTGTAAACGTTACTACAATTACCCCAACTACCACTAAGGATGGCACAGGAGCAGCCGGGGGTGGCTTCTGTCAGAGAGTTTGCAAAGAATTTTTATACATGGTTCACAAGCTAACGTTACTCATGAAATTGTAAATGAGTTTGACGACACTGATTAGCAGTTAGCCAACAACAAACGAGCACGTTTGAAAAAATACACCAACGGCACACATGTCCCGATGAATTAGCTGCATTAATCTACTCTCATCTGTATCTCACTGTGGTGCCCGCCTTCATAATGTGAAGTTTGTGCTTTCCTCACAGAACTACTCTTGAGTGTTTGCGGGTAGGCTAACCTAGCTAAGCTAAAACGCGCGGCCTAAAACTGCCCCATGTGCTGCTGCTTTGTTCTGGGGGGCACTTTAACTCACACACCACTGCACTCGAGACTGAGCAACAAATTAACCTGATTTACAAACTTACTTTAAATTATAGGGGACGAGCATGTTTATACAAAAATTGGGGTTTGTTATGAGGTGGCCAGGTTTTTTTCAACAGTTGCTAAAGCGCAGCGGAAAAAGCTCCGGACAGCTTTTCAAATCTCCCTCATTCCCTCAATGGTGGAGCAGAGGGGGCTGCCATGCGCCTCACGTTACACTGTTTTCATCGCCTGCATAATCATTTGTGTGTTAATGTTTGGATATCCCCCCACCAACATAATACCGAGACACGTAAAACTAGCGTAAAACACGCCGTTGGGGATTTATTAACCCAAAAAATAGATTAAAAATAACCCAAAACCCGACTTCCTTGCCGATAAACATGCGCTCGGTAGACACTCACCAGCCGAAATCCACCATCTTCGCTCACTTGCTTGGGGTGCCGTGTAGTCTCTTGCCGACAAAAGAGAGAAATAAATACGCAACTAATCCCAAAACTTTTCTAACGGCGGACAAAACGAAACATAAAGTGAAATCCGAGCCGTTCGGGAGTCAATTTATAGCCAAGATACGCTGCTTAAAAATGATTGCGGGGTTAGGAAAGTGGCGCGAAGGCGACCAGTTGGTAACCATGTGGGTGAATGAAGGGCGGCTCCCACTGAACGTAAATATCTAGCTACAACCCCCAACTCTCCCTATTAGCATACATAAACTACGGTACTTCCGACCCACATCTCCAACCAAACAGCCTCCACCTCTCCCAAGGAAGGAAAGGGGAAGAAACACGGATCGATGCGGTTTCCATGCGGTTTCCAAAAAACCTTTAATATTAACAGTTATATGCATGCATAACGTGACATGCAGTTTAATGACAAATAATGATAAATAATGTCAAACCACGGACTCCGTTTTTAATTTAATCCAAAGTAATTGCGATTTGTAGTTAAACTATTCTATATATTGATCATATGCTATTCTTTAGGTGCCCTCTGCGTTCGTTTAACTGCAGAAATAAAACGATTAATTAACCTGTTGCTGCTCCACAACGCATTAAAATGAGCATATAGTGTGTTATTAGTCACATGTAGAATCAAAAAATTTATATTCAGTTATGATTAAATTAAACAAGTTTTGCGGGGTAATTCAGGCCACCTTTCAAGATACAATAACACAGCGATTGGTCAGTTATACTCTTGTAGGCTATATTTTGACTTTGACTCTAGAAGACATTGATTATATGAAGTAATATAACTTAAAATATATATTGAACAGAGTACAAGAAATCAATAAAATCATTAAGCACCCATCAGAAAGGTAGTTTGTGAGTCTTGTCCAGGAGAATAAAGGTCTATCAAAATTGTTGTAACTAAATAAACATTTCCATGTTTAAAATCTTTGAAAAGGCCTAAATTTTCAAAGACAAATTATTTAGTTCATTAAATCAAGATAGGCTAACGGTGATCTCAGATTATAGTTCATTCTCTAGCTTTTGAAAAGTTGTTTACTATTATTTAAAGGTGATTTATAGTGAAACAACATTGAGTTTTGACTTAATTATCACTTTTGGGACAAGGTTAAATTCACTTAATTAGTTTTGAGTAATACATGAACATAAATTCAATACGAAAAAGGCAGTACAGTTTTACTGATTCAAAACAACATTTGTAACTGAAATATAAGGTAAATACAAAACAGATAAAGAAGTTTTCCGAACTAATTTGAACAATTGCATTAAGTTAACAAATTTTATCATCAGTCTGATAATATTTTTGCATTTTGCCTTCAAAAATCTCTTACAATAACCTAAAACTACAGATATTTGGTTTGTGCAGTGTGAAATATCATAGTCATTCAAATGTATTAAGACTAAATGTTTAAAATTATGACCTTTATTAGTCAGTTAGTCAGAGTTCCACTCTGTATTAAACTAAAATATTTTTAACATTTCATGCTTACAGTCTTGCTTTCTTCTCAGTTTTAAAACAAACGGCTGGATGTTGTGAAGACAACACAGCCAACAGCACAAGCCATCAAACTACAACAGAAGGCCAGTCGAGTACTGCAACAAATTTGTGGCCCTTTGACAGGCTAGGGCCCTTAGACAGGATGTAGGCCCCAGACTTAACACTCCACACTTTTAAAAATTAACTTAATTAAATCTCTTAAAGATTCATTTGTGTGAAATCAAAGAATTGTTGAAATACTTTAAAGTGAGATACAAAGCATAGGTCAAAACGTGGCTCCAATATATGTTGCATGTAATATATGTTTCAGATGCTTGCTCACAAATTGTAATTTTTCTGCTTTTAATACAAATTACGATGACTGAACCATGTTGAATATAAGCTCCCTAACTTCTGTGTTTTGTGTTTTTGATGTAAATGACAGGGATGACCAGGATTTTTACAGCTCTTTATCATGGTATTTGTTGTGCTATTGGGTTTTGTCCAGAATCTCTTACTCCACCTTAAACTCACAGCCATAGTTACTTTTCAATTACAGATTTGACATTTACAAAAATGACACGCTTGTGAAACACAACTCAATATCTCTTAACCTCTCATGTTTCAGATGTCTGTGAGTTGTAGGGCTGTAAATAACATCTATAAAATGTCAGAAAATGGTTAAAAAATTTCAGTTAGTGTTGCCCAAATCCAGAGATGACGTCCTCAAATGTCTTGTGTCTGTCCACAACATAAAAATATTCAGTTTATCATCATAGAGAAGTAAAAAAAAATATTCACACACATATTCATTTAAGAAGTTGGAATCAGAGAATTAAAATTTTTTCTTTCAATATTACTCAAACCAATTAATCAGTTACCAAAATAGTTAATAGTTAGTCCGTTAATTTAATTGACAACTAATCAATGAATCCTTGCAGCTTTAATGAGTTGTTAGCGGTTCAACCAAAGAGACATTTTCCCTTCTCACATGGTTCATTTAAATAATTGTCCCAAGCCCACGGAGGTAAAATAATATCCAATGTACAAATTTTTTTCATTGTTGCAAGATTTAGATTTTACTTCTGCCACCCTTGAAAACTACTGGTATTAGTTCCCCCCTATTGCTTTAAGAACAAGTAAAAAAATTCCTCCAATGATGTTTTTGTTCACAATACAAAGATGTAAATACAGATAAATGAATGATAAAAGAAATGTACTTCAAGAACACCCAGTATGTTTTTAATGAAGTTTAATAACAAAGAAACAAGGGGATGATTCCTTCAGCTTCCAAATCCATTACCGCCTCCCCCTTGAACATCACCCTCAGGTAGTTAAGAGTATAATGGAGGTTTGATGAAATGCAGAGAGGGGTTTTTACCTTTCAATACATACTTCTGGAATTAAAACAACTCAAAGTTATTGGTACTATGTTGTCTTGAGAAGGTTGCAAAAATTTCAGTTGCTCCAAGGCAGATGAGCTGAAAAAGAGCATTCAATCTGCTGCTGACCTTCAGCGTTCTGTTGAAATATGTTGAATCCTGTGAATTTTCCCAAACAGAAGTGTGATACAGTATGGTGTCTGGCCAGTAGAGGGACCTAGCAAACTAAATACTGTACTGCAGATGACACAATTGCTTTTCAACAGTTAAGAGGAAGCACTAACCACAACTTCCCCAATCAATGGTGTTTCTGTTGCTTAAAAACATCAGCTTTGTACAATCCACTGAGTTTTGCATGTCGATGTTGCTGCAAATTACACTCGAATGGTCCTCAGGCAAGGGATGGTGTCCACTTTAAAAAACAGTGTGTTTGGTTTGTGCTTCAATGCTCCCTGCTCCAACTGACCAGTAAATAGAGCCACTTTTCACCCCACCAGAATATCTGCTCTCCACCACTTCTCTGTGCACACGGTGGGAGTGGGAGCGCTGAGTCATGACCCCCCAACCCCCAACACAAAGCACGGTGGGGAGGCTAGTTCCTCTGCATATGGAAGTGAGGTATAGGGGGTGGGGGAACACAGGGAGGTTGTAGACTTCACATCGTCCCATGGGGTCAGATAAAAGCTTACGGCTCTCCTTATTAGACCCCCCTCACCTCCTCTTCAAGCTCAATGTTCTCTGCACACGTAGTTAAAGATCTATGCACTGGGATCCTAGCAGGTGTCAGCTGCAAAAGAATTTGTGGACATTTTCCATATGATAGCTTATATTATTTGGGATAAAGGAAAAGCTGTAATGTGTGTGGACATTACAACAACACATACAGGAATGAAATCACGTTTTATTTCTGCACTATAAAACTGAGCATAAAAGATTTTGCATGTAAAAAGGCCAACTTAAAACACCATGCCTGGTAGTCCTTGTGATAGTCAAGCCTGTACTTGAGATCCAAAACACCCCCTTAATGCAGCACCACTGCTTCCCCTTTTTTTCTCCCTAAAATGTCCTACCACATCCAAGCCCCTCCCACGACAGGGGCCATGAGCCTGGGGGTCTCTGTTTTGTTCTTCCTATAGAAGCCTGGCCACCATTGTCTCCGTGTGACCACAAGGTCAACGGAACTCACCTCGCCCAACCACAGCCCATTCAGCTGTGAAGCTTCACATGGGACAAAAACATCTCACAAGAGCAAGGATCACTTCAAGTGAGGGGGTGGGAAGACACACGCACATGCACACACACAAGGACAGCTAACACACTCTGCATTGTATTTTAGAGTCATAAGCTCATTTGTGCTACATTGTTTTTTCACAATGTAGCAGGACAAAAGAACCATGTGCAAGTAGTTCAGCGATCAGAAATGTAATTTCAGTGAATCAAAACAGGTGAACAGTGAGGATAGTACGTGTTCCACTAAGGGTGGTTTAAATTGGCAGAGACACGTTGCTCTATTAAAGAAGTCAATTATAGAAAATAGTAATGTAGTTATCTTTGGCACATTTTATAATTCTCCTTCAGATATTTTAAATACAGCTCTTGCCAGAGGGGAAATTGCATTTTGCTGCAGGTTAAAAATGAGGCCATCCACGTCAGTCATCTGCAGCTCTGTATCAAATTTTATATATTGGGCTACAGGCCAAAAAGATTTTTTTTAAAACATTACATTTTTATGTGTAAGCCAATTTTCTTATGTTTTCTGAATTTGTTTAACTTTAGTTGAGTAGTTTCCTCGTTTGATGCACAAGAGCACATGTCCTGAAGATCCTCCAGTCTGGCTCTGTGCTTTCAGAGGCAACAGTGTCCCTGGTGGAGGGGAAGCTCATGGAAGCTGACAGGTTGAAAATGTGCGGCATGATGTGGCTGAAGGAGCATGAAACATGTTCACCCATCGATGGTGTGCACAGCGCCACAGGAGAGGCTGTGAGACGATTAAATGCTTAAGTGTTTTTATGCAAAAAAGATTTTCATTCCCTTCACAGGTTTCACACCAATCTGAGATTTTTACGCATAGATGGGTCAATTTGTATGTTGTGTCCTAATGGGTACAAGATTATTATTATGACAGTAATTATAATCCGTAATAATTTCCCTTGGGATCAATAACGTCTATCTATCTATCTATCTATCTATAATGACTCAGCGCTACATATTTAAATATACCCTAGAACCATCCACGTTCACACAAAATAAATCAAACAGTATTTTGCATTATGAATTTTTTTTTCCATTCAACCAAATGAGACATAGTGAAAATCCCATCATGGTGCTGTTCACTGCAGAATGACAGTCACTATCCCATGAGCACCATTAAGTAATGACGAGTCATGCTCCTCTGAGCAGTGCTTCAGTGATGTATCTACACACACCCAAAATCATTCAGAAAACTGTTTCATATCAAACACAGCTA